GAGCAGTTGAATTGACAGATGCAAGAAAAGATGGCTAGTCTAAGATGTTAATCTTTCAGTTGTGTAATCACACTTGGTCTTCTAAGATGTATCATTTCAATAAATAGAAACTCATTCTTGTTGTTTGCTTCAGTGAAATTACTTGGTCATAGTAAACTTTGATAGCATGAATATGTAACACGGGCTAGAAAGACTATTCTAAGAAGTTCAGGAGAAATGCTAACTTTACCTAATTAATCTTTTTCTTTTTCTAATGTGCGGGTTGACTGCAAATCTCTATAATCGCTAAGAAATACATGAATGGTATGATTATTCTATTTTAATCTGTATGACTGTATAAAATAACGTGGTTATTTTAAAAATATAAGTCATTGAAACGCTTCTGAATACTCGAACACGTGTGAGACACGAATATTGATTCAGGTACTGGATGATTATAAAAATCACTGAGTACACATACTATGATGAAGTGACTGATTAACTGACTGATAACAACTTAAAAATAAGTTAACTTCATTTATGTAAGAATTTAAAAAGCAAATTTTCCGTACATATCTCATATAAGATTACAGTTCTGTTTTTGATACCGATAAAGAGTGAGACATTGTTTCAGAATAGAACTTCCACTAGATGATCTACCTTTTACAAGAAGTAAATACAGACAGAGTGCGTCGGTGGCATAGCGGTTATTACGCTCGCCGACCATGCACATGGTTCGGGGTTCGATTCCTCGCCGACGCACTCCTTTACCTCGCTTACCCAGAAATAATGCTGGTGAAGAGGAAAGGTTGGGCATGAGGCTAACAACCCCATCTTGTAAAATAAACACTGCTACAGAAACTTCAAGCCACTACCTTGAAGCCCTATGTTCCACTGGGGAACGGAAGGAAAACAAATACAGACAAAACACACGGTAAATATTTCAATAATTTAGTCTATCCTCACATAAGATAACCAGACAGCACAAAGTTGCGGTTTAGAACTGGTGTTTCACTAGGTGCACATATAGTATATGAGTTAACATGTATAGTCTATAAGATGGCTCTTGCCATGCATTACAGATCACTCTGCACTTTTGATATTTAAGTAATGAAAGTTTTATGAAATATTTAATGCATTAAATTATTAAATTATCCGGAAAAGCTTAAGTAAAACAATACACTTCGAAAACAAATGACTTCAACAAAGCGTTGGATTTCTGTGAAATTAAACAACCCTGTTACTCTAATCTCATCTGTATAACCTTGTCTCTAACGGGAAATATTTACACTGTCTTTTAATAATCTTGTTATGTAATTAAGCTAAAGTGAGAAAAAGATTAGGCTTTTTCCAGCTTCTTTCATTCACTTGTATCATGAGGACAGAAAATAACAGGTATTGTGAGTTGCCGTGAATAAAGGATAAAGTCTTTAGTGTTTCTGAGATTAAAATTTACTAGATAGGATATCTAAGATAGAACTAATCAATACTCCTGGTATAATGCTGGATAATAGCGATGAAATAATTACTTCCTTGCTTCTTATCACCATCAACGGGAGCGATTTGAAAGAGGTTGTCTCAACTACAGGAGGAACGGACGAAGATGTCAAATCGAGAATCGGGAAGGCGAGAAACACATTCATCAACCTGAAACCAATCTGGAAATCTTCGTCGCTCAGCATCAACAACAAAATTCGGATTTTCAATACAAACGTCAAGTTAGTCAGTTCTTCCATACGGATGGATCAGAAACTTGGCAGGTCACAAAGAATATTTCCAACAGCCTGTTGCAGATCTTTATCAACAACTAACTGTCTTCGCTGGCTCTATACTGAAGATCAGATGGCCGGAAGGAATCACCAACAAGAAACTATGGGAACAAACAAAACAAGAACCAATCGCCCAACAAATATGCAGGAGAAAGTGGAGATGGATTGGACACTCACTGAGGAGGCCGTTGGGTGAAATCGCGTGTCAGGCCATAGCTCGAGTGGAACCCGAAAGGGACGAGGCGAGTGAGGTGTCCAAGGGTGACATGGAGGAGATCGTGTGAAGAGGAACTGAAACAGCATGCACTAACATGGATGCAAGTGAATAGTACAGCAGAAGACAGAAGCAAGTGGAGGCGTGCAGTTGAAGCCCTATGTTCCACTAGAAACCCAAGGGAACAATAATAATAATAATTTTATCGCTCGGCAGATAAACAGCTGAATTAACATTTCTATGGTCACAGTTTCGAATCCTTATGCCACCTGGCTTTCCACTTTGTTTAATATCTGTGATTCAGGATGAACTGTGGGTAGATTGGGTCAAAACTATCAACATTTAAAATCATGAATTGCTGGTTAGTTGTTTCGTCCCGATATAACACTTTTCAGAAATGCAACAAAAGTCTAGATAGTAGTTGGTTTTTTAATGAACAAAGACAGAGAGTGGTAAATTAAGACAAAATTAGTGTTTAATAATCCATAGCTTTTAATGATTCTTTGACAGTATTCTCCCAGGAGTTAACCATAGTTACATATCCTATCTTTCTAACGTAGAGCAAACAAAGCTTTTAATTGTTACCACACAGATAAAGACTAGTAATCATAAGAGATTTACTAGCCTAATATTTCAGATTCATTTCCAACTAAAAGTTCACACGTTTGGACACACAAATTGTTTATGAGATTCACATGATTTGTTTTTAAAGTGATTGCAATTCCAGGCAGCAGAAAATGATTTCCTGTTGAAGTGTTTATCCAGATTTCCATATTATTTTTTTCTTTTTTTTTGATGTGGTATTCTTTTTATAGCAATGAAATATAATTTTAAAATTTATTGAATAATGAAAATTTTTGTTACCAACCTAAGTAATCTATTTTGTATGAAAAAAGTCATTCTCACATGCGGAAAGTTGCCCAATCAGTAGCTGCTTCATTAGCCTCTGATTGTTTCAGTAAGTTGAGCCATTGTTACCATTCCTTCCACATGGAGCATACGGCTTCACCAGCAACTCTCCATTTTATCCTGTTCTCCAAGTTCCCTTTTTAGTTCATTCCATGACTGTCCATAAGCTTTCATTTCCTTCATGTCATCCTCAGATCTTTGCCAAACAAATTGTGTCACATTTCTGTTCCTCTTGAAGGATTGACGCAAAATGTCATTCAGTTGTCTCTTTAGCATGTGTCCGACTCCTCTTCATTTTATTGGGTATATTAGTTGGGCAACAGGCTGTCGGCTGGCTCGTTACCAGAGTTCCTAGTTCTAATTCGTTCTGGCCATCTGATCACTGGTGTGAAGTGTGGGTAGCTGCCGACAAAAGCTTTCAGCCAGTTGGGAATGGTTTTGGTCATGCGCCAACTTTCTGACCTATATAGAAGAACTGACATGACAGTAATGTTGGAAATCCCAATCTTGATCTTTAAGCATAATGAAACTGATTTCCACAGATCCTCCATTTTGACATCCTCATTTGCGTCGCTGGTAGTCAAAATGATGAAGCCCAAATCAGTGGAAGAAGTGACCTCTTCCAAATTTATTCCGGTGGTAGTGATTGGTACATGTCGTTGTTGTTGTTAGTGGTCGTCATCGTTGTTAAGTATCTTCATCACCTCTGTCTTCTTTATGTTCACTTGAAGTCTTGCCTTCGATGCCTGCCTCTTCCTCCAACTTACTAATTTCCCCCTGTAAGTTATCGAATTTATATGACACAAGATATAAATCATCCAACCATAACTTCTAGAGTCTTCTTATCAGCCCAACATACTCCTGTCTTCTTGCTTCACATGGTGTGGTACATAATTCAGCTCACCACAATAAGGAATATTATCGATGATAGTAGGCAGTTTTGTCTCACTTTTGTCTTCACTTTAGTGTTAATTGCTGATAAAAATTGAGTCGAGTGGGTGCATGGTGAGAATAATCAGAAGTAATGATTAGGCGTAAGATAACTAATCATTCTAATAAACTGTTGGTTGAATTAGGGAAAACAGTTGATGACCTGCCGAATAACGATAAGACAAGGGTTTTATTCCTGTCTTCACTTTCAACACCTCACTGAAATTTCCGTTGAGGATCACTTGACACATGCCATTGTCATATAGCTGTTAAATTAGGTTGATAGAGATTTGGGGCATGCCATAGTGCTGAAGTGGTTTCCAAATTACTTTGCGGTCAAAGCTGTCAAAGACCTCTTTGAAGTCGATGAAGTTAAGGTAGAGGTTTGACTGTCATTCTATGCTTTGTTCGATGATGACGTCCAGAGTTACTATTTGATCCTCACTTGATTCGCTTTCCTGAATCCAGCTTTTTCTGGTCGGAATTCTGCATCCAATACCTCTTTTATTCTCTGCAGGATGATGCGACTTAGTATTTTACTTGGCGTGGACAAGAGCATGATTCCTCGTCAGTTCTTGCAGATGCCTAAGACGTTCTATTTCGGTAGTGTAACAAGGTAGTCTTTCTTTCAATCAGTGGGCACCTCTCTCCCCCTTAAAACTTTATTCACCAATGGTATCAGGATGTTAGCTGAGGTCTGTGGATCCGTTATCAATGCTTTCATCCTTCGTGGCCTCCAGCAGTTTTATGGCATTCAAAACTTCTGCTTTTGTTGGAGGATTGGTGTCAACTGGCGCTGTGTGGTTGGTGTTGTTATTTCTAAATGATTTGCAGGTGGTGGTCAGTTCAAGATTCCTTTGAAGTGATCAGCCCATTGTTTTCATGCTTCTCCTCTTTGTCAATTAGGTTTCCTTCATCCTCTTTCACTGGCTTCATCTTCTCAGAAAGAATAAGTTTGTTTTCTGTACCCTATTCCGGGGAAACATGGAAATGTCATCCAGACGACAGTAGACGCCTTTGAGCATTTGTGATTTTAAATTCTATATTATTCTATGAAACGACTTCAAGTAAGCAGTCGAGTCCTCAGACTCAAATCAATCTAGTCCTTAAACTGCATCAATGTTTACTACATAAAAGGTTATACAATTTATTCTAATGATAATCAGTAAATCTAGTTAAAGAAGATTAGCATAGCTTACCTCCTGAATACATTTTTGAAGTAAATTTCCAAATTCTTGCATAATATTTCCATGAATGATATAACTGTATTGACAAACGGATTGTAAAATGTTGTTTGAGTGTTTTATGAAATTGGGCAATAAGTTTTCCAAACCAGATTGTAGAGTAGACAAGGTTCGCATGCTTTCTTCTTTCTGCTCATGAATTGCAGCAACAAATTGCTTGATAAGACGAAAAAATTAGAAGCTTATTAATTTTTTCAGTGTATAAACATTGTTAAATGAGTAAAATAAATAAGGCATTATAAACTTGTAAAAAATCTTGTAGTGCTGTACTTAGACAGCATATTGGCAAATATGATACTAAAATGAACTTCAAAGAAAGCAGGTGAACTTATTCGCGGGTATTAGTCATGTATGGAAAGTAGCCTAGATTCTTTAGTAGCAGAGCAGTCCAAGTGGAGGCCTAAATTTACAGTTGATGGTATTGTGTTATTTGACTTGGAAACAATGTAACTGATATGGATACATACCTCTATTTTTATTGTTAGATCTTGTTTTTCTTATTTGATTGTTCTCTGCTAACTCATTAGCATTTTTTCTTCATCTACTTATTCTGCAGATATGAAATTAGTAAATTAAATTACTATTCATGCTCACTGTATCTTCTATTGATAACACTTTTCGTCAAGTCAGTTCTTCTATACGGATGGATCAGAAACTTGGAGGGTCACAAAGAATATTTCCAACAGCCTGTTGCAGATCTTTATCAACAACTAACTGTCTTCGCTGGCTCTATACTGAAGATCAGATGGCCGGAAGGAATCACCAACAAGAAACTATGGGAACAAACAAAACAAGAACCAATTGCCCAACAAATATGCAGGAGAAAGTGGAGATGGATTGGACACTCACTGAGGAGGCCGTTGGGTGAAATCGCGCGTCAGGCCTTCGCCCGAGTGGAACCCGAAAGGGAAGCGACGAGTGGGACGTCCAAGGATGACATGGATGAGATCGTGTGAAGAGGAGCTGAAACAGTATGGACTAACATGGATGCAAGTGAATAGTACAGCAGAAGACAGAAGCAAGTGGAGACGTGTAGCTGAAGCCCTATGTTCCACTAGGAACCCAAGGGAACAATAATAATAATAATCTTATCGCTCGGCAGATAAACAACTGAGTTATTGTAGTCCTATCGGAAGCATTATCACAAAGAATAAAGGTGTCATCCATATATTGGCAATAAAATGAGAGCTTCCTGATAAGGTTGTTCAGAGGTCCATTTTCTAGCTTACTTAGAAAGAAATCAGCCAGAATTGGACCTAATGGGGAGCCCATTGCCACCCCGTCCACTTGCCTGTAATGCGTGCCGTCAAATTTGAAGTTTACATTCATGGTACATCTTAATATCAATTCTTTTAGGATTTCAATATGGATTCCAATGTTTATCGACTGCTTGTCCACTTGTTCACATATATAATTCTTTGTGATAATGCTTCCGATAGGACTACAATAATTACTGAATTCAATGAAGTAAATCCGGCTATGAAATTCACATGCGAGGAGGAATCCCAAGACAGAATTGCCTTCCTCGATGTCCTACTTACAAGAAAACCAGACGGAAGCATAAAAAGAAATTTACATAGAAAAAGTACTTGGACGGGACAATATACACACTTTCATAGCTTCGTTCCCATCAAATACAAAAGGAATTTGGTGAAGACCCTTAGCCACAGAGTTAGAGCTATATGCTCTGAGGAAGTAATTAAAGATGAATGAAACATTGTATATGATACTTTAAATGAAAATGGTTATCCTGAAAAGTTTATCAAGAAACATATGACGAAGAAGGCCGAAAAGGACAACCCACTATCTGTAAACAAGAAGCCCCTTTATATACGACTACAATTCAAGGGCGATAAACCAAGTGAGTTACTTACAAAGAAATTAAGAAAAGCAGTTCAAAGGACTTTTAATGCTGGCGAACTACACATCTTATTCTCTACAAGACCGATGGTGCTACCTCGACTGAAAGATGAAGTACCTAGACTGGCCACTTCAAATTGTATTTATGAATTCAACTGCGCTTGTGGAGCGAGTTATGTTGGCCGTTGCTCTAGGAACTTGATTTTTCGTGCTCGAGAACATATCCCACTATGGCTAAGTAAAGGTGTAGTTAAAAGTATTAACAGCTCGATATTAGACCATCTGGTGCAAACCGGTCACAAAGCCAGCGTAGACGAATCCTTCTCCATAATATACCGGGTGCCCAACAAACTACCAAAATCCTCGAAGCACCGCTTACTCCAAACAGCAGAGGCTATTGCAATTCGCCTCAAACAACCAGTGCTCTGTGTCCAAAAGAAACAAGTCCAGCCCCTACTACTGCCCTGGCCCTCAGTAGAGACTATAAACTCATGAATTTGTACCATTACCTTTCCTAATTCTTCTGATATTCAGTTTAATTGATGTTGATGCTGTTCAGCTGTAATTTATCAATATTATTGATTTGATGTTATTTAAACATTAATGTCGTTCACAAGACTAATTCATTCATTCATTATAATGTATATATAATTGTAGAACCTGATGATGAATTTATCGAAAAGAGTTCTCTTTGTTCAGTGTCTATTCTTTTGAAAATTTCATTTTTCAATAAGACCAACATAAAGCTTTCAGTTTACCAACTATGATGTGCTTGCAATAAACTAGAAATACTTTTCAACAATATCAAATATTTCATGAATTAACTCAATCTGTCAGTTATCATGTTTTTCATATTATTACACTGTTCTTTTTGATATGGCTATCTTCAATATAGTCCTCATCGATTCTTATCATCATACTAATTAGCGTAGTTTATACGTCCGGGGTTCGAACCCCGGCCGATGCCTTCCTTTACCTCGCTAAGCTAGTAATTAGACTGGTAAAGAGGGAAAGTTGGGCATGAGACTAGTAATCCAATCCCGTAAAAATAAAAACAAAGAACCACTGCTACGAAACTTCAAGTCTGCAGCTTGAAGTTCTATGTTTCACTGGAAACATAAAGGAATAAAAAATATAAAAAAAGTTCATTCTAACAATGGTGCTAATTGTAGCAAAAAAGTTCGTTGCTACGTTCACGTAAGGATATAAGTAACCTATATTGTTTGTCTGGATATTTGACATTAAACTCTGAATTGAAAACAATTTTATGAGGTATTTATTCTCACGGTTTTAGATTTCTCGGTAGTCTGCAGAAGTCAATGTTGCTCGATTGTCATATCTAGGCAGCAGGTTTCCAAGTTAAACATATAAAATCTCATTTTTATGATTTTATGCCAGTATTGCATTAGACTTGGTGCATCACGAAATGCATGGCCAATAGTCTACTGCCTTCGCTTCATAGTGAAGATAACACGACCAAAAAGGATAGGTAACAATGTTCTACTGAAGCCCAGTATTCCAGTGGAAACCAGTGGGAATAGTAATAGTAATAATAATTGCATCTTAAACGCTTTGGTTTTACTCGTGTCACTAATTCAAACCTGGGTATTTTGGGGGTATCCTTTATTATTGTCCTATGAATTATTCATATCAAAAAGGCACATTTGATCTCAGCAATAAATAACATTCAAAGTAAGCTGAAGCTCTTTAGTATTTCTCAACAGTTTTCCAAATGAAGCGAGTCAACATAAGTTATATAATAAGTAAATTCAACCTTTTTTTTTAAAGTCACGTTTTCACTTGTCAAACTTACTGAACTTTTTTGATTCTGATGTTTAACAGACGCATCCAATAATAAAATATCTAGTTCAGTACTATCATATTTTTGTAATAAGCGTTTTGCATGATTTAACAGTTGATTTAATTCATCCAAACGAGATATAACACTGGATGATAGTCTTCTCATCTAAACTCAAATTATTCAAATATACAATTATAAGGAAAAAAGAAATATCAGAATACAGTAATAATGCATGTATATAATAAAAATAAAAAAAAGGCTTTATCCCAAACAGTTCATCTGATACAGTCTGGAATTCTTAGCAAGTAGTACAATTTTGCACCTTATTTTCTCCCTACATTACATAGTAAGTGAGGGGGGGAGGAATAATTAACAAAACCTTTACAATCATAATGTCAGTAAAAGTATAAGTGTAAAATTAAAATCGCAAGTTAATGGAATGGGCGACATTGATATATATATGATTGTCAGTAAGTTGGGTGTCTTCACGCCAAACACTCTTACCATGACATAATTTGAGTGCCAAATAAGGTACCGTTGCGTTTCGTATTTAGTGGTGTGAGCATAAAGTTCTTTATTATTGCTTCTAAACCTACCTAGTGATATGCAAGTGGAGAGTTGTGAATAAAACGGATGCTCAGAGTCCGAAAAGATAATTTTTGCCAATTTATTGCATCATTTCGAGTGTCTGTACACAACAATGTTAGCAAGTTGATTTATAGGGCATACCACTCGCCTTACCGTCAGCTTTTGATACCCTTCTCAGTGCAATAAAGTCTTTTGTTAAGTGGCAAAGAAAACATAAAAGGGGAAGCAATAACGAAAAATATTCAGAACACAAAACTTAAAACCTTGTAAAAGTAGAGACTGAGTGATACCAGATTTTCCTAACTTTCTTAAGTACCTGCTAGTCTTAGTAGTTGAATGTATTCAGTAATTTATGTTAAAATTGTTTTGTGGGACCACTTTTGTTTAATCGAAGTGATTGAATGTTGAGGTGATCATCTGGTACATGCTGCAATCACATTTTTGCAATAGAAAAGTGAAATATTTGTAAAACCAAGTTATTGATAGGTGCTTGTTGTACACCAACAAAGTACTCAAGTATTTATGCAAGATTCACAGTGAAAAATGAATTTTTGTCAGATGACGAGTAAAATTAGATACAGAAACCTTTAAAGTTCTTGAGACTTGATGTAAGTAACTCATTTATCCGTTTGTTTTATACCGATTTTGAAGAAAGAAAAAACTAAATCCCACTAAGATGAGAAATATACTATAAGTGATACTTAAAAAGTTGCGATAGAGACATTCGATTGGTGGATTAAGTAAACATAGTTGAGTTAACCACAGAGAAGTCTAAGGTAATCACATGACTGAAAAGCCGAGAAGACAGAGGAGTAAATGGATTCATGCTTTTCCTAGAGTAACACTAACTGTATACTTTAAAAGCTTCTCTTGCAACTGAGTTACTGAAGAAAAATTGTCAAAAGTGATAAATTTGTGTTCAGTCAAATCAAAATCTGATTAAAAATTACCCTCATTTATCAACCTAGATCGGCCTGTTCTACAATATGACTAACATTCGACACAGTTCAGCTTACAAGTTGGTTGTTCTTGAAAAGAATATAAAATTATCTGTGAAGGCGATAAATAATGATCTCTTTTTCATTGTTAAATGTTTTACTGGGTCTAATCAACCCATAGGTCTTTTTATGATAAACTAGTATTTAAAGATATCATTTGTAACAGAAAGTTTTTAATACTTTGCTCATGATATGTTTTGCTAATAACACACGTCACAAGTAAAGTATTTCGCTGACGACTGGATTCAAGTTCCCCATCTAAACACTTGTGGTATGCTGCAAAATTAAATCCATATAGAATTTAACATATTGTCTACTTGAGAACCTTAATTTAAAACAAACTGCTATTTTAAGTTCCCTTGTTTTCAATACTTATTCTGAGAAACAACATTCTGATAGAAGCGATAATTGCAATCACTATCTTTGCATTCCACATATAAATCTGGGCAAGTTGATCAAAAGAAGCAATTAAATGTTTGACAGCATTAGTTAGATGAACTTCCATCAGTTTATATTCTTTAACTATGTGAAAGTAGAACAGAAAACAAATGTTGTGAAAACAAAATTTCAACGTGATTTACAAATTTCTATTTGTAGTTCACTTAACAGATGATGAGGCTATCACAACCTTATCACTTCATTCACAATAACGACCGATAAAGGAGTTAGAAGTCATCTGACAAGTACTATTTTCAATAATGACAACACTAAAAACCTTAAAACATTCACACTGGAGACAAACAATAGAAAGACACTTAGAATAATGTGAGTTGGTCAACTGACTACAAGTATTTAATTACCTTGAATTACATCAGTATACAAGCAACTTTAAATTATATTTAGAAATTATAAAGAAAACACAGTTCAATCAAACTTACATAGGTTTCTTGCATATGTATAATTAAGGAATTCAGTGCAGTTTCATAATCCTCTAGTAACTCCATAGGGAAACAATTAGGCGGATTACTGAGTACTGGAATATCACTATGAAGTTGTAGTCGATTGTTTTGTGTAAACATTTCTTTCAGTTGTGAGACAAAATCTCTCTGAGCGACTATAACATTCTATAAATATATATTTAAAAAAAATTAAATATGAATTCATTTATATATGCAACTGTGTGTTTACTTATGTACAGTGTATACGTTAAATTAAGAAATTTAACATTTCAGACAAGAATAATGCAATTTTTTGATGTCCATATTCTTTCTTACACTTTCAATATGGCAGTATTATTTAGTAAGGAGTTAGAAAAAAAACCGATAGAGGTTTATGCAGTTTTTATCCTGCGTAGAAGTTCTATATGTACTGATACTGAGCAACGGGAATGATCTCTGAATTATCTTTCAAAAAGGTTACAAGATCAATAAAATGAAATGAAGGTGATTTCATTGAGACATACAGAGATGTTAACTGATTGCTTGGTCTCTTCAGGGTAGTAAGCGTCAGGTTTGAAGACTATTAGTCATATGGCTGAAACCTCATCAAAGTGATAAACTATTTCATGATCGTTTGTGTAATTGTTTTACCTTGCCACATATTCCAAGTGGTTTAGTAAATTATTATTTGGCAGTCGGATGGTACGGTGATCCCTCCATGTCCAAAATTGGTCGAAGTGGTAGGCCTGCTTTGTGTACCTTTGGTAGACCATATAGTCGAGGGATAATGCATCCTGTTGGTCTTAGACGTTCAAATAGGTCCTCAGTTATGAGGCAGTCGTTCTTTATTCTCCTAAGGACATCTGTCAGTTGCTGTTCCATCTGCTCTGTCTTATTCTTCTCATTGTCTGGTTTTGAAAATTTATTATCATTAGAGATTAGAGCTGTCAACTTGTTCATATACACATCTCTGTCCACAAGGACCACTCCCGAACCTTTGTCTGGACGTGTAATGATTAGGTCTTTGTTGTTTCTCAAGTCTTTAAGCTGCTGTTTGTGTTCTTTTGTCAGGAGGTGTCGGGTTTTAGTTTTTGAATTGAGGTATTGATTGCAGCAGTCAGAAATTGTAGACTTGAAATGTTGGAGATCTGCATCAGAGACGGGTGTGATGTCTCTTGTTTGACTCATAAGATTTTCAAATTGGACATACGTGTGTAGTCTGTTACTGTATAGATTTACATCACAAAATTTCAACCCTAAAGATAGGGCTTCTAGTTGTAAGGTAGACAACCTGACGGAGGAGTGATTGAAAACAAATTTATCAGGGTCCACGGGAAACTTTCCCTGTACTTCGACGGATTTGAGGCTCCTGCTCAATTCAGATTTGATATTCTCAGCTCGTTTGCTTTGCACCAAGATAACATATTCATTAAACGATACTCTTTCACCTGATGATAGTTCGGAAAGAGCAGATGACCTCTGTGATATATTTCTCTGTAACTCGAATATACGCGAGCTAATTAATTAATTAAATTATTATTTGTCTATTCTTTTAGCATTTTGTAATTTGTAATTTTAACCATATGAGCGGATATAGTTCAGTCTACCTTATTTTGCTGATTTATTAATCAACAAATATTAGTGTGGCAGAAATTAGTGAATAACATACCTTAGTATGTCAGATCTTCAGTCCTACGGAAGATGAGTGAACCTATTACAGACAAACAAATAATCTCAGTAATAACCTAAATGACAAGAACAGTATTGTTCACTGCTGTCACACATCCTTAATTTTGCCAATTTGAATTCACCCTTAATAATAATATTTTCTCTAAATCACGAAAAAAAAATTAAAATGAATGTGGAAGGACATTCTTATGAAATGACTTTTCATTCGTTTATATTTTGTATATCTTGAAATGTTTAGGAAAAAAAGAAAGGCATTAAATGAATACTGGAATTTTCCAGTTAATAGAGATTAGTGTCATTTTGAAATGTCCGGTTTTGGGGACAGAATCACTGTAGTCTATTTTATTAAATTAATAATCCTTATTAAGACATAAAAACAAAGAATTTAGCAAAGAAAATTCTCTTTTCGATGACAGACAATAACGATCATTTTCTTGTGTGTGTGTTAACGTTTGATAGAGAGTGGAAATACTAAAGTGCGATAATATTGGCGTGTAGGATTGTGAATCACAATTGATTAGATATATGAAAGAATGCTCAGCCGAGATATTCATTCATCGCTATTGCAGCATATAGTAGATACTGACAGCGCAGCATCTGACACAATGTTTAATATAGTCTACAAAATCCAACAAAGTTTCCTGAAAGGGATACAAATGCATTTGCTTTGTATAGCAGAGACTTTGGTGATGCATAATATAAAGCTAGAACTTTGTGTACAAAAACAGTTTGTACAATCTCTTTCATTACCACTATCTTGATTTTGTTATCCTTTCTTATTCCATGCTGCATTTTTGTTTTATTTTGTTATGTTATCAAATTCTAACAATTTATCGAGTTTACTATTTTGACAACATTTAGCTCATTCCATGTCTCCAACATGCTGTATTCACATATTCACATGTCCGAATGTACTTTGTCTTCTGATCATCTATTTCATACATTTCTATTGAGCTGTAGGTCGACCTCTATTTATTTAGTTACTCATTCATACATCTAATCAGTTGTAACTCACAATCCTATGCACCAATATTATCGCACTTTATTTCCACTTACTGTCAAAAGTTAATACCCACACCCACACAAATCATCATTATTGTCTATTGTAATTCATATATATATATATGATTATACAGTTATGAAAATGAAATCGTTGAAAAGAGAATTGTCTTTTTTATTGTCCAATGAACCAAATAAATCTCTATTACAAATCATTGGGCTTTCTAACTGATAAGCTTTACAACTGGGGTATGCTAAACTTGTTTATATTTGCATTCATGAGAAAGGTAGGTATATTATTAGACAATATTTTTTTCGCTATGTATTACTTGTTACGGAAGGAAGGGTAGGTATTCATCATCATAATGACTAGTAGGAGGCTTTATAGGCGCCTGAAAACCCGACGGAATATCCTTCACTGACCGTTTAATTTTTGTCTATAAGTGTACTTTTATTTAGGTGATAACTCATTATCCTAGTTTGGGAATCATCGGCAGTACGCACCCACTAGCACCAGGGTTCGAACCCAGCGCCTTCCGGTTACAAGGCAGGCTCGTATACCATTCAGCCACTGAGATGTGATTCAATGACTCATGAATTCTAAATCCTACCAATTTGTGATTTAGCGCGACTCCAATCATTGTCGTTGGTGGGATATCCATCCACACAAGTGACATCTAATTGGACCTCACTGGTCACGACTTCTCACTAGAACTCCAGGAAACTCCATCCTATAGCTCGTCAGTTATGCGATATCTATTTATTAGAAAATAATGTAGGAAAATCAGTTTTAACTGAACAGTTTCCAGTTAGCCACATTACATATAAGTGCAATCAATACACAGAAATTATTCATCTTATTCAATCTCATTAATTTAATTGCCAATCCCTTGCATCACAGTACTGTGGTATTTCCCCTTTATAACGGTAGCCACAAATTTTAATGTGAAATAAATATTAAGAGGTAATTACTATTTACAAGCCTCAGCGTGCTAAAAAGTTTCTCTTACGTTACGAGTGAAACATAAGGCTTCAAACCAGAGCTTTAACGTTTCGGTAGTAGTAGTAGTAGTTTTATTTTTACTGGGTGGAGTTGCTAGCTTCATCCCAACCTTCCCTGTTTACTGGCCTTACTACAGGCTTAGTGAGGTTTGGGAGCGCGTCGGCCAGAGATCGAACCCTGGACCACGTGAACTTTTGTTGGAAAGTATTTTACCGCTGAATTATCGACGCTAATGGGATTATTCATTTCAAACACTCCACGAATATGAAGAGTATAACTTTTGTATATGCTTACTTTTACCTAGTTGCTAATTTTTGTGAATTTGTTTGACTTTGTCCACTTTCGTGATTGGCGAGTGATTCTTTAATCTCACAATTATTTCAAATTTCTGCATCAATTTGTATAGGATGCTTTATATCACACATGAAAATACGCTTAGTGAATCCTTTAACCATTTTAATTATTATTATTATTGTATCCTTTAATTCCTAAAGGATTATAGGGCTTCAGCCACCCACGTCTCCATTGCGTTCGGTTCTCTGCTAGAGTCTTCACCTGGCTCCAAGTCTGCCCACATGATTTCATCTCCTCTTCACATGACCTCCTCCAAGTCACCCTCACACTGACGACCAACTCGCCGCTTCCCTTTCGGGTTCCACTCGAGCGATGGCTTGTCTAGTGATGTCACTTGATAGTTTCCTCAGAGGATGGCCAATTCATCTCCATTTCTTCCTGCCTATTTGTTTCACAATCGGTTCCTGGTTGGTTTGCTCATTACCAGAGATCCATCTCTGTTGCTGATCTTTTCTGACCGTCTGATCTTGAGTATTGAGCGAAGACAGCTGTTGGTGAAGGTCTGTAGTTTGTTTGAGATGCTTTTTATTTTTTATTTATTATTATTTTATTATTCTTTTATTTTTAATTTTTATTTTTGTTATTTAAATTGGGTGACCTTTGTTCTGATGTTATCTTTGTAAATGAAACACTAGGAATACTGTGATTCTTATTCTAAACTTGTTTAGTTTATTATATGGATGAAAAAAGCAATTTTCACACAGTAAATATATCGATTCAAATATGCTTTTAAGAAAAGTACAATTCAGTGAATGTATAGTAGGAGGAAGGTAAGTAGAACTCTAATTTTAACAAGTCTTATCACCAAGTTGATGATTAACCATAAGTGGACACGTGGATTGATGTGAAATTCGTAAATACTCACAAAAAAACAACAATTACACACGAGTTCATGTACTTCTCTTACAAAAACAATCAATATTTAACACATAAGGCTAGATGGCAACATTGAATAAGTGAATACAGTTTAGCAACGATTGAGATGGCTAGGACATATGTTACGCATGCCCAGCAAACGCCATCCTTGGCACGGAATGCTACCCAGCAGCGGATTAGGTTGGCGAAGAGCTGGTAGTGTTCAAACCAAAATCTGGAATCAGTCCATGACAGTTAGCTTCAGCCATGTAGGAAGGTGTAGACTATCAGGTTGGGGTCCTCGGGATTCTAAGAAGCAATTACTGGAGACAATTAGCGATACGACTCAAAATCGTTCCTAACGAAGCAGATGCATTCACTCTTTGTGATATACTATACCAATTGAACTCTATTATTCTTCCATTTTTTTAATTCTTTCCCCTCCACATTTATGCTTATTATCGCTGTTTTGAATATTTGTTTTACTCTTTTTTGTCTTCCTTTGTGTCAACATGGAGTTTGGCGACTCGAACAGCTCTCCAAAGTCCTATGTTGAAACCACTTAGTCAACAAAGCATGTTGTGTATTTATCAACCTCCTACATTTCAGATCGTTTTATCCTAAAGTTATTTTATCATATTTTCATTGCACCTTCTTTTTAAAAAAAAACGAGTTTGAACATGTATAGTTTGGTCTTATAGGAAACAAAATGATCTATAAATCATAGGCAATATTGTTATGACAAAAGTTATGGTGTAACATAAGGTCATACTCTACTATCACTTATTTAAACAATAAGGCACTGTTTCGGTAGTGCAGGAGTAGAAAGTTCGCTAGCGATTCAAGTGATCTGAGGTTAGATCCCCTGCCTGAGCGCTCCGAAACCTCCCTAAGCCGGTAGTAAGGCCGGTACACAGTTAATGTTGGGCTGAGGCTGGCAAAGCCGCGCTGTGAAAAAAACTAATACTATTAAAACATTTAAAGCTCTGGACTGAAGCCCTATGTTCCACTGGGAACGTAAAGGAATAAAAAAAGATACCAATAAGCTATTACACTGATAAATGATAGTTTAGAAACTACTAAATAAGTTGGATAAACTTTGATTACCATTCGTTCAAAATGCCGTATTGTTTGGCTGAAGCAATTTACTAAATACTCATCATTTTCTGTCTTTTAAGGGCGTACAGAAGCTTGGAATTTAATAACACTGACCTATTAATCACGTATAATATGCACGATTAATTGTACTAGTTCACACTGTCACAGATATCATCAAGTTTGATTGAATGATTCAGAGTCAAATATCTCGCTTAAAATGTGCATAAATACTTTAAATATTTTCTTACAATACATTGCTACTTTTCAACTGAGTGTTTAAGATTCATAAATGGTACTTAAAGTTAACTAGACAACATAATTATGAGTTTTCCAGAAAGAAGATAAAACTCAGTGCTAGAGAACAGAATTATTTTCCGAATTTCGCAGATCTAACTCGTATATATATATATATATATATATGATTTATAATCGTCAGTATCACAACTATCAAAACTAATCATTATTTTCTAAGTGAACAAGCAAACCCCAGCGGAGTTTTTTTTTCAAACATTAAATATAAGTAATATTTTCTTATAATTTATAATTCAGGTTAGACCACAGATTGATACCAGTTAGAGAACCACTGGAAAACCTGGGAGTACTGCTGGACAGCTGTTTCAACCTAGTTTGGGACCCATTGGCAGTTTTCTCCCACTGGGTTTCGAACCCAGGACCTTCTGGTTACAAGGCCAGCGAGCTCGTATACCATTAAGCCACTGGGACCCGATCCAATGGCCCATGAACTCTGACTTCTCCCAATTCACGATATAGTGCAACCGCTAGCCAATGTCTTCGGCGAGTATTTGTCCTCACACCCGACCTGCTGCACCCTACTGGTCACGACTTCTCACTGGAACCCCAGGTAATTACCTACCTGAATAGGGCAAGTCGCTAGTGAGCATCTCATTGATATTCAAGTATTGGTTTGTAGGGATTTGATTGATTGGTTACAGGATTTCATCATGAGCTGACATTGGTTAGAGAACTATTGGAAAACCTATAGAGGGTGCTGGACAGCTGTTTCGTCCTAGTTTGGGGCTCTTCAGCAGTACGAACCCAGGACCTTCTGGTTACAAGGCGAGCTCGGGTACCATTTATTTATAATATCAAGAAACAGGATATAATCCAGACTATAAAAATTATTTTCATGTTACCTGCATTGTTTTATAACGAGATTCAACCGCATCACGTAAAAGTGTACACGAGCTTTCTAATTGATTGATCGTTTCTCTTTCAGCTGTAAACTTTTGTTGAATCTACAAGTAAGTTTTGCAAATGAAATAGTTGTTTAATAAACAAAAAAGGTATTTTTTTGTCAAACGAACAGTAATACAACTAAAGGTATGAATAAAATTAGAATAGCATACAAGGAAATGCTTCCTTTATGCATTACTGTAAGATGATAATAATAAACACTATGGGAGGAACTGAAATCAGTTTCCTTTTTTGTGTGCTGAAAATCTTCTACATGCGCACTAAACTGAAAATTTGTGTAGAATTTATTCATTTGGAATATCTTTGGGGAATGCGAAAATGTCATGTAGTTCAGTGTGCTGTAATCAAAACAAAGTAAGTACTATTACATCTACACAACAGTATATATGGGAATAAAAAAAACAAAGGTACAACTTTTAATTACATGCCCAGACATCATCGAAGCATCTGCACAAGAAGCCGCCGACATGTCAACCTGAGACCAAGCACTTCGGTCCAATCAATCGACGGGAAAATCCAAAATTGAATTAAATAATTACGATGACCCGTTGCACAAGAGGTGGCTCTCGTGGCCCAAGTGGTCTAGTGGATAACGCTTTAGCGTTTGAAACTATGGGTACTGGGTTCGAGCCCTGATGAGAACATCATCACTCACTGCGGAATGCAGGCACATCCAGTTGACGAGTCCCAAACAGGGCGAAATGCGCATCCTGGATCCCACTGCTAGTCACCATCCACCAATTAACTTCTAAAGGTACTAATGGTTATTAGGATGAAAAGTCCTGCTGCAAATTTGAACCAGAAAAAACTAAATAATTCAACGTAATGCTGACAAGATTATCAATAGCCGAACCATAAATGTTATGAATTTCCTGAAATAATTTGACTGCCAAGTCAGATCAAATCATTATAAAATTACTCTAAATAATTTCATCTGTGTAAATAAGTCAAAGCTGATTCTGCTGTAAAAGCTGTAGTTTACACAGCAAAACGCTCAGAAAAATTTTGTTTTGATATGTTCAACACGCTGAGGTTATTTTAAGTGATTTTATAACGATACTGAAAAGGCGTGAATAAAATTCAAGATGGCAGAGAAGGAAATTAAGAAAAATGAAAGATTTAGTATGATAAGGGGTGAAATAATGGTAAAATATTCAAGGATAGATTAAGGAGCAGGAAAAGCTGTACACAAAAGTTTTCAGTTTAGGTCTTAAGTAGAAGATTTAGGGCACACGAAATGAAATTTGATTCAATTCATTCAACAGTGAGTATTGTTCTTGCTTGACAAAAGTTACTATCGTTATACTACGTGATCACGAGGGTTCAAGTAATGATATTCGCCTGAAACGACAGATGCTTAGATTTATGAAACAGCACAATGATGACTAATTACTACATGTCTGCCTGTTATCATTTTTAGGTCTAAGAATTAGTCAGAAGTACACTGAAAACAAATCAAGGCATCTTAGTGTTCAAGAATTGGTTTGTAGGAATGTCAGTGATTAATGCTTTCAATTTATCACAGTTTGACATAAGTAGTGAACTCAGCTTTCATTTTCCACAGCCTCACAAGCACCTAGCAAAGGAATGCCTGGTGACGTGAAATCTAAGTCGAAAATGCCTTCATACAGGTAATTAACTCATACCATTTAATATGAGATCGGGAAAGCAAGGCAAGCTTTCATTACTCTCAAGTCTATGTGGAGGTCAACAACACTCAGCATCAAAAATAAGATCCGGATTTTCAACTCCAATGTCAAGTCAGTCAGTGCTACTATACGGATCAGAGACTTGGTCAGCGCGCCATAAAGAGCATCTCAAACAAACTACAGACCTTCATCAACAGCTGTCTTCGCTCAATACTCAAGATCAGATGACCAGAAAGAATCAGCAATAGGGACCTCTGGGAGCAAACCGACCAGGAACCGATTGTGAAACAAATAGGCAGGAAGAAATGGAGATGAATTGGCCATCCTCTGAGGAAACCATCAAGTGACATCACTAGACAAGCCATCGCTCGAGTGGAACCCGAAAGGGAAGCGGCGAGTTGGTCGTCAGTGTGAGGGTGACTTGGAGGAGGTCATGTGAAGAGGAGATGAAATCATGTGGGCAGACTTGGAGCCAGGTGAAGACTCTAGCAGAGAACCGAACGCAATGGAGACGTGGGTGGCTGAAGCCCTATGTTCCTCTAGGAATTAAAGGAACTAATAATAATAATAATTTAATATGAGAGAAACACATTGCATTAAAGTGCCGTGCCCTTTCATTGCATACTTCACAAGTAGACCTTAATCAATACCTATTATTATTCGTTCCGTGCGTTCCATGTGGAACATAAGGCTACAGAATTACATCTGTATTATACTCTGTTCTCTACAATCAGTCAAGTTATTATTTATATATTTATCTAATACCTTTACATTCCGACTGGAACTTAGGGCTTCAAGCTAGAGCAGGGGTTTTTGTGTGTGTGTGTGTGTGACACAGTCAGTCAATAATCAGGATTTATTAATAATGTATACAATTAATCACCAAGTCATAGTTGAACTATACTTCCACTTCCAAGTATTTTGACAAAGAAATACGATAACTTACTCTTCGACTAACTTCTGCACTGCAAGTACGTGCTACTTTTGTCAGTATTCTTTTGGTAGTTTTATCAACCATATCCATGATAGAGGTTTTATTTGTTTCATCAGATGCACTAGTACCTATGATGAGAATAATTAAGAAGTTGATAAGTTAGTTATATTTGAAATTATGTTTAGTTTGAGGTATAAATAAATAAATAACATTGTAGAGGAAAATAGAGTTTCTACAGTGAAGCATTATTCCCACTGTTAGACACTTGAAGAAATACTAAGCAGAAGGTAAACTACATTTTTGCAACTTATCTAGCAACTGACGTCTTATAATACTTAAGCTAATTACTTTGGTTTGAGTTGTAGAGCTCCAAAATATCACTGATGCTTTTATTTATTAAGCAACAGATATATGTGATATAATGTCTGCTTACAAGCAATCATAAACTTTGTATTTTGATAAGAAGCAGCAGTTTTATATGGGATATTGCATACTTCATGAACATAAGTACTTAGAGGTTATCTTCAGTAGTTTTCCTAATAGTTACTGAAATTTTTCTTCCTAGTTAATGAAGTTATGATCTGAGTACATTAAGGAAAAGAGGTGTCTAGATTATTTATGATGAGACGGTGCTAGAACTGTACTGTCTTAGTTCAAAGGAACTTAAAACAACACATGAAAAGAATAAACAGAATTAGAACAACACTGCGATAAACTAAAATAAATACCACAAGAAATAAGGTAATTAAATGCGAATCAGTGGAAATATTCAAAATTTTAATCGATTAAACATGACTACCTCTGTATCTTTCTAATCGAACTCGAGGCATTTTACTATCAATCTGTGATCGAATACCCACCAAAATTAGTAATCTAAATCTTGCTTGGCTTAGAGTAGCATGAAAAGTAGTCGCAGATGGATGCCATACTTGTATCAGTCTACTGTTGACTTTCTTCAATCCTAATCTCACTCAGTCGAACACATTTGTCATGTAAGTGAGTAGTAGTCTGTTATGATTTCTGCGCTAATATGATAAAAAGTGTCTTCCTATACAATAAAGAATAAATAGTCAGTTCCAGATAGTTAGTCTAAAACTTAAAGACACACACACAGATACAAACTAACAGGTCATTTTCAAAATACAGATGGAATCAAACACTGGCTTAGTCAACTTTTTACTATTACTGTATTTCTCTAACTGATATGCTTACTTTTCACTTTTTCATCTGACTTAACAGAGAACAGATGAATGTATAGTTATGAATTTCAAACTTAAATTATTAGCCGGGTACTGAATGAAAGACTATGAGGTACAAAGCAAAATGATGTGACTAAAACTCTACTCATTATTTGCCAAATAAGTTCTATTTGAATTTACTTAAATACCCTCGTTTTTCTTTCAACTAGCAGGTACATCCAGCTGACGAGTCCCAAACAGGACGAAATGCGCATCGTGGATTCCACTGCTAGTCACCATCCACAAATTAAGTTCCTTAGATTAGTTTGAAAAAAATACAGAAGGAACATATTTGCAGGACGAAAACGGCTTATGCTTTCTATCTGACTGTCTTTCATCATCTGGTAACATTTAAAAGTGACGAAGGTTATTATAAAGGAAAAGATGTATAACACACTTCATAAATTATTTCAACTCAAAAGGGCATAGATGTGGGACAGGACATATGAATGCAAGTTAGTTAATAATCTAGCAATCAGAGTTTATTTATACATAATGTGAAGAAAGGGGCGTTTGATGGGAAAGGGTGGAACAAAGGAAAGAAATTGTAAGTAAAAGTAAAATTATTACGTAAATACACAATTAATTTAATTGGAATATTATTAATGAGCTCAAGTCAGTGAGTTGTAAACGGAAACGAATTGTGACGCAACAAAGCGAAACACAGAAACGGAATTGAGACGTCTAATTACCAGGGAAGTGAGAGATTAATCATACTATCTTTTTGTATACAGAGATTAGATTGAAATCTTTTGATAGCACTGGCTTCTGCAAAGCGAAGTAGCCACTGGTCTTTTCTGTATACTGATTATATGGAGTTCTATCGAACAAAGTTAATAACCCAATCATCATTTTTATACAGGTGCATTCAGATTAGACAATATCAGTAGTAATCACAGGCTGGATCATTTAAAATTGCTGAAAAAATTCGGTGACTATGCTTACAGAAGACTGACTATTACTAGGAAGAGCAGGGAATCAGACTTGTTTGACCCAAATAAGTTGTTTGAAAATTTAATATATCCTATCTGTGTTACTTCTGTTGTAAGGCAGTTATCTGATAACTTAAACATTTTCTCATAATAAATAATCGTTGTACCAGTTTATTTACTGCAATAAATTTTCGCACCCCTAATTTGTTAATACCAGTACACGTATTAATACAGATTCTAAATGATGTAAGTGAAGATGGATCAGACACACACTGAGGAAACCGTTGGATGACATGTTGTACCAGGCTCTCAAGTGGACCTGGAAAGGGAAACGACGAGTTGGGCTTCCAAGAGTGACATGCAGGGGATCGTTTGAGGAGGATATCAGAGACTATTGGCAATTTTGAAGCCGGCTAAAGAGAACTTCAGAGAACAAGATGAAATTGAGATGTGTTGTTGAAGCCCTGTGTTCCACTCGGAACCCAAGGGAATAATAGTAATAATAAATGCTATTTTTGTTTCACAGTTAGTTCATTGCCTGTCAGCGTTTGCATTACTTCCCACATATTGCTTTAAAGTAACTTAATAGTCACTGCAGTCATTAGTTTCTAATCCCTTAACAACAAACTTCTTTTAAACGTAAACACCATTGAATTTTAGCAAAAATATTATCTTCAAAAAAAAACACTTCTACAAAACATTCTTGGCATAAATGTTTGCAAAAAACAACCCAGCTAGAATGATGACATCATTATTCAGAAGAATCGATTTTCATGTGAATCTGAAAATATCTATTCACTGAAGTGAATTGTGTATTGAGTGAGCCCTTAACACAAGGCATAAAAATAAACTGCTTTAAAAAAAAACCGCAGACATTCCAATAATGCTACGTTTCTTTGTAAGGCAAAATAAAAGCAGATATTGACAAAACATGAGTTTATCACTAAACAGTAGTAAGAATTTGATTGAAATTACAATTTTACGTCACCGCTGCTAAAGAAAAACCCTTCATTAACTATATATATTATATAACCCTTTATAAGATATACATAAAATATATCAGTAATAGTATTTTTAAAACTTAAAACGGCATGAATGAATTGATGTTTACCTAACTTGACATGTCATATGAAGTCTTTTGATAGTCGGTTTTATATATTACTGATCAATCGATAGTCTCAAAATTCAATGATTATTAAACGTGTACCAGTCTGAAATGCTATTGTGTGGAATAGATTGTATATTTTAAAACAATGAAAGTCTGGTAGAGTTAGCATATTAACAACCTAAGTAGACTGACTATAAGACCGTGAAAGCAGCATCAAAAGGGAATTATCTACCTACATAAATCTTTCCATCGTTTCACTTCGTTGACATCATAGGCTAATTCATTAAAATTATCAAACATTTGCATTGTTGCGGCACAATCTGGATGACTGATTGGCGTTACCTAGATGTAAAGGAAAGCAAATTCAAAGTGAATTTTAGAACAGTGAACAAGGTATGTTAATTGCTTAACTGCTTGGGAGAAAATTACACCTAAATTTCGACTTTATATTTCACAATATTTAATATTTCTTTAAATTTTATTTGTAGGTTGATTCCATACAGTATTTTGGTACAAGTATGGAATTTTCAGTGTGTGATATCGGTAGCCCAAATTTAGCAGGCCGACCATTTGATATCAGGTGTGAATCGGCCGGGGATCGAACCCCGGACCATGTGCATGATCGGCGAGAGTCTCAACCTCTGTGCCCTTGGGTTCTGAATGGAACATGGAACTTCAAAGCATGTCTACACTTTATCCTGTTCCCTTCTGTTTTTCTTAGTTGGCCCCACGATTTCCCAAAGTGTCTCATCTCCACCTCGAACGATCTCCTCCATGTTACTCTCGGACACTCCACTTGTCTCCCACTCAGGTTCCAGTCGAGGGACTGGCGTGCTCTGTCACCCGATGGTCTTCTCAGCGTGTGCACAGTCCATCTCCATTTTCTTCTGCATATTTGTTGAGCAATAAGTTCTTGATTGCCTTGTTCTCATAGTTTCTTCTTGGTTATTCTTTCTGGCCATTTGATCTTCAATATAAAGGGAAGGCAGCTGTTGATAGAGGTTTTCAGCCTTTTAGAAATACTTCTTGTGACGTGCCAAGTTTCTGACCCATATAGAAAAACTGACTTGACATTGGTGCTGAAAATCCGAAATTTGCTTTTTTTGCTGAGTGTAGAAGATTTCCAAACTTGTTTCAGAGTGATGAAGGTCTTCCTTGCCTTTCCGATCCTGGCTGGTTTTGACATCCTCATCCGTGCTGTTGCCTGTAGTTGAAACGATGCTGCCTAGATAAGCGAAGGAAGTGAATTCTTCCAAATTTATTCCGTTGACAGTGATTAGTTCCCTTTGTGGTTTTCGGTTATCTTTACCACCTCTGTATGCTCTATTTTCACTTGAAGTCCTGTCTTCGCTGCCTGCCTCTCCTTCCAACTTATCGGTTTTCTCCTGTATGCTTTCGAGCCTGTGTGACACTAGACATAAATCGTGTGTGAAATCCAAATCTTCTATTATCTTCTTGCTCCCCACAGCCTGACGCATGATCCAGTCCACTACAATTAGGAATGTCATCGGCGATACTAGGCACTGTGACGCGATTTAGTATTTTACTTGACGTGGACAAGCACATGATTGCGAGCCAGTCCTTGCAGAGGCCTAAGTCGCCATTCTTCGGTAGTTTGACAAGGTAGCCTTCCTTACAATCAGTAGGTACCTTTTCTTCTTTCCGAACTTTTTGCGACACTGGCGTGAGCACACCCATTGCGGCGTCTGCATTCTTTTTCAGTGATTCCAAAGAAATTATGCGTAATCCTGCTGCCTCCTCGAGTGGCTTTCAGCAGCTTTATGGCATTCATAACTTCTGCTTTTGTCGGATGAAGGCTGTCCACTTGAATATCTGTCTCAGTTAGTGATACCTCTGGAAGAGTTTCAGGCGATGATCAGTCCAAGAGTCCTTTGAAGTGATCAACTCATTGTTTTCTTTGCTTCTCTGATTTAGTAATAAGGTTCCCTAGACCATCGTTCATTAATTTCAACAACGTTTGTACTCAGTCTCTATTTCGTCATTATGGTTATTCACATCTACCACAATCCAATTAAACAGTTCAGTTTAACTGATGAATAGACGAAATTTTAATTAAGAATAGATGTATAATTTTATTCAACTTATTTTTCTACAAATACTTACATCTTTGAGTAATTCAAATAGTTGTTTTAATTTCACCAATCGTTGAACTGGTTTAATTAATTCATCATTTAAACTCATTATATTTGGACGTTCAATCTGTAAGCGTTTAAATCCCACCATTGCAAACTTTTGAACTTCTGGGCTCTATAGGAGAATTGTAAAATCAATAAACTATAAATAACTCACATATATTCACAGTAACTTTTGTTTTTACTTAATAAGAGATAGAGGAAACATATAAGATTGAGTTCGATAAAAAGGCATTGATTATCACCACATTGATTGAATGGTTAAACTTTTTATTTTCTTCTCAATACATTTTATTTTTATTCCTTTACGTTCCCAGTGGAACATAGAGCTTCAAGCTAGAGCCTCGAGGTTTCGGTAGCAGTGGTGTTTACTTTTACGGGATGGGTTTACCAGACTCATGCCCAACCTTCCCCCTTTACCAGCCTTATTACTGGCTTAGAGAGGTAAAGCGAGGTAATATACTTCAGTAATTAATTTATTCTGATATTTGAATGCATATATGTGAAATCTAATCAGCATGCTTGAAATGGCTCTTGCAGTTACAATCTATAAACCTGCGAAATTCATACAAATTTAATAACATATTTTGTTAACTAATAGTGACAAGTAATTCACGCTTAACAGTCACAAATGTAGAATATTTCCCTTATATTATGTATGAATGCTGGTTATAATTCCTGCTTGGTAGGCAAATTTGGATTTGTTGCACATAATGTTAACGTATAAGTTTTTAAAAAACGATGATAGCCTCTCATTGTTAACTTCTCAGACAAAAAAGTCTATGATTTTATGGGAAAATAATAATTAATATCTCTTGTAGAATTCATCTTATATTACCGTACAGCGAACAGCTTCTAATATAACCAAACAAGAAACATTTTAGTGGTGGAGATTCGTAGCTCAGCTGGATGATTCTGATGTAGTTGTGTTTTCTGAGCCGGGTGGTTTAGTTGCGGAGCTTTCGTTGTCTTCCTAGAAAACAGGCTCAGAACATACATCAATTTGAAATAAGCTATTAGAATTCTCCACGAGTTTGTCGGCTCAACAACATAATCAGTACAAATACAAGTGGACTAGATGGTGAAAAAATATCCAAAGACGACCAATCACGTTCAACGTCAATGGGAGAGATGACTTACAAACTCGTAGAGAATTCTGAAAGCTTATTTTAAATTGAAGTATGAGCTGAGCATGTTGTCTAGTAAGACAATGAAAGCTTCACAACTAAAACATTCACCTCAGAGAACGGAGTCACACTCAGATTTACTGATGAAATATATGTAATGAATTGCTGTATCATCTATTTCTCCTTGTGTTTACAAGTCAGTGAGATAATTGTTTAATTTAATTTGATATGTATCAAATTCTGAAACATCATCAAATAGTTATTACCAAAATTCTTGATGTGATTATGTTCCTTGAGCTGGATAGTTAATTTGCGAAGCTTTTATTGCTCTGCTAGGCAACATCTATGGCAATGAAAGCTTCGCAAATAAACTATCCAGCTCAGAGAATATAACTACATCAAAATCATCCACCTGAGCTACAAATCTTCTCCATCATGTATATTACTAAAATGTAAGCTCTGACTAACCTTTGTGGAAGCATCAACAGAAAAGTTCAAAATATATGTCTTCAGTGCTTCATTTATGGAGGATTTTGAAGAAAGCATACATTTACCTGTGGAAAGAGTAGAGAGAAAAGTCTTGAATATAATTCCAGAGAAGCCAATAATTACATTAAATAGATGGTTACATTTGTATTTAGGTTAATAATAGAAATACGATATTGCACAGTCACTTTAATAAGTGCTGACATGTTCTTCTTATGATTGTAGAATAAAGCACAGAAACAGACTCTAAACTGGAGTACAGAATTGTACTGAATTTCCAATGCTAACCGACTCAGTATAGATTTTTTAAAAATTCATTTTTGTGGTTGTTGTCCATCTGTGAAACATGTTTAGTCATTTGAGCTCTTCTCGAATAGTAAGATGAATAAGGTTTTTTAGTAATCCAAATTCCTATGGTTGATGTGGCTTCTAACGAAACATTCTTCTCCTTAATATTCATACTTCTTTTGTATGACGTTACAAAATGTTATATACCACGTTTCGCATAGAATACATTGACAGCCTTAAATTCTGGACAGTTCAAGTCTCTACATTTCGAGAGGGATACATGGAAGTAATAGAACTGTAATGAATGAAAATGTGCTGGAGACACAGTAACGGCATGAACATTGTCAAAATCTAGAAGAAAGAAAGGAGTAAATAAATGCCAAAATAGATGATGAACCTTGCTACAGAGTGTTCAGTCGCTGATTGTTAGCATTTTGATGACCTCAGCTAGGGAACCTACATCTCCCTATATGACTCGGAGCAGTAGTCAAGGTCTTTCGCGAGTGATACCATATTTTGTTTTAGCCACTCTCAACCCCTGCTTCAAACGAAATCGCACATCTAGGAATTCGGCTTCATCGATGTACTTAGTTTGTCCCTCAAGTCATTATTACTGATCAAACTGACTTACTGAACACCAGCAACCAAAAAAGAGTCGTTTGGTGAGAACTCTCTAACCGTCTCATATCTTCCACCACTTAGCTTTCGCATCTCACAAGCATAAATTAGGACGAGATGGACAGGTGCATGGTACACACGCTGTTTGACAAGTAACTGAGCATCACATCTACACCAAAGACAATGCAACTTGGTCAGTGGCAAACACTCATATGATATCTTTACTGAGATTTCATTGGAGATCTGTCAACTGGTGTTATTGCAACTTACCAAATAAGAGAAGTGATCAATACATTCAACTACTTCAGTTCGTATCTTTTTCCTACTAATATACACATTCCACAATAACAAGTATATGTGTACAGGTTTCAGTATCATACTGGTCAAACGATTAACAAAATATGGTCGGAGATTTTAGTAATAATTGATTTCCCTCTAACCACACTTAAGACAGTCGAATACTAATAAACTTGGAACAGAGGTAAATGGGTAAAAAATAGGTAAACACACAAAGGTGCATTGATTTAAGCTGCTGCATCTAAATTCAACAATAAGAGATATGTTAGTGTAAACAAAAACAGAGATATTCACGTGAGCAGAGTAAATAAGTTTAGAAAACTAGAAAGCCTAAAAGTTTATATGAGACTGAAAAAAAGAATACGTACACACCATTGCGATTGATTTCTAGGCGTGTTGTTCAAAATTTCTGATTGTTTCTTCATATTACATCTCTTTTGTCTTCAGGTAGTATGTAGCCCGTCAAAATATTTTAACCGATTGTCAGATGTTTTAAGTGCATACATTACCACTGTAGGTAATGAAACAGAAAACTGCTTCTGAATGAAATATTTCGTTGGTGTGAAACGTCATTTATATATTAGGAAGACGATTTGGGATCTCGCTTAGATGTCCATCAACAACTATATATTTAGGGATTCCTTAGAGCTTAAAATATTCAAAATATTCAACTTCCTTATACGACAACTATCAAGCAGCTTTTGGCAAAAACTATTTCTGAAGCACTTTATTACATTTGACGAAATCTCAAACTATTTTAATCCAACATACTTAGTATCTTCATCCTTCTGTTTCAGACGCTACCTAACAGAAATGTTATTTGCTGGCTTGTTATGAACAAGACGTTTGTCTTTTCAGGAAATTAATCTCCGAAAGTCTGAAAAATAAACGATCCGTCATAAAAAAATCTTTTTGATGAACTTATACAGATGAAGAAATGGAAAGAATGCTCACTGATATCGCTACATTTGACCACACCAGGTAAAACGTCTTCATCAACCATTTCAGTTCTATAGGAATTTCAGCTGGCAACAGCAAGCATCGTGGCAGATATATCATGCTGTGTTCTTTGAAGTTAATTAATATCTGCTAAAAATACAATGAGTATTGATCGACGTATAGGAGAAAGTGGACATGGATCGGGCATACACTGAGGAAACCGTCAAATGACATCGCGCTATCGCCAGGCCCTCGAGTGGAATCCCATTGGGAAGTGACGAGTGGGTCGTCCTAGGACGACATGGAGGGAATCGTGTGAGGAAGAGATGAGAGATTATGGTCAATCGTGGACCTAAGGCAGAAAACAGAACAAAGTGAAGATGTGTTGTTGAAGCCCTATGTTCCACTAGGAACCTAAGGGAATAATAATAATGATCGAACGACGTAATCCCCTTGATTCTTAAGCGAGGTTTACGTCACAAATGTTCAGACAGTATTATTATATTAATGAACAAAACTAAAATGGATACTGTCAAACAACTGATATAATCACTTACCTACACAAGCGCTGCCCACTTGACTATCAGGATATTCATCAATTTCTTGTTGTAGTAGCATGGATATATTATCATTAACTCGAACCAATTGATCCAAATTTCCCAATAATGCATATCGATCTGATTCATTTACCTGATTTTATACATATAGTGGAGAGATAAATCACCATTTTGTTGAGTGAAAATTCGTTGAATTGATGTTATGACGCTAGAATAAGGGGGGATTGATTTATATATACATATGCGATTATTATTATGAGCTAATTCTTGACAGACTTTTATGCTTATACTTTAATTGCTGATATCCTTTAAATTACTTAGTGGCTTTTTAGTGTCATATATGAAACTCATCCTGGTAACACATAGATTTTGGTTGTGTACCACACAGGCTTCGTTCCGCTTAATAACTTTAGTTTATTAGGGAGCTAAACTATTTATCTAAGTGGTCCTGAACTTACTGATCTGTATATTATGAGGGAAATATGATTTATTTTGTTGGAATTACCATTTAAATATCTTAACTGTTCAGCAAATGTTATGCATAGATTTTCGAGAGTCTGGCTTTACAAAACTTCACCTGAGAGAAGAATTCGTCCTTATGGACTAATTATGGAAAGCACGAACTAATCAAATTAATAAACTAGTAGAGAGTGTTACATAGTCAAATTTAACTTAGCTAAAGATTGAGTTCATATGCTGACACTAACCTTTGTATAAGAATGTCTTCCATTGACAGCTATTAAAACAGACAACACAAAAGTCATCCACACCGGACAGACTGATGATGAAATCTCAGCACGGATACAAGAGGCTTATATGGCATTTGCCAATCTACGCCATCTCTGGTGTAGACGTGCATACTGCACAGCAGTTCCCTCTGTGTTCCTTTACGGCTGTCAGCCAGCCATTGAAAGTGGAAGATTTGAAAAGGATGGCTGTTTTTCCCACAGACTTTTTCATTCTATCTTCCGTGTTAAGCGGTAAAGTAGGTGAGTAATATTGGAGTTATGCGTAGAATGTTTGTAAGTGAGAATAAGTCAATCGATGAGGTTGTGAAACCACATTGATTGAGATGTCTGGGGTACGTTTCTTGCATCCCAAGCCATCGTTTCCCTTGACGGACAATTTTTCTTAACATAGGATTAGGTTGGAAAGGAGTAAGGTGTGTTCAAACCAAAACACGACATCAGTCCATGAAGTCTTTAACTGTGGGTTTGAACCTGCCACGTGCTGAGGCGTGGGCTTCCTGGTTGGGGTCATCAGGATGTCAAGATCCAGGTACTAGAGACTGTTTTAGACATGGCTCAAAACCGTTCTCAATGGTTCAGATGTATTCACTCTTTGTGCTCTCCCATATCCACTAAATCCTAATGTTTCTCCATGTTACTATTCTTTTTCCCTCATATTTCTGTTCATTATATTTGACTCTTTTATTTCTATTTTTTCTACTTTTGTGTACCAAATGCAGTTTGCCAACTTGAACTAGTGCACTTCTGTGCAGAGTTCTACATTGAAACCCAGTCGGTTACGAAGCTTTCAAAACGAATAGATGGAAGTCTACAAAGATCAATTTATGGAAGGCCAGGAAGGAATCGACGGCAGACAAACTTTCATGGTTTGGCTCCATTAGGTGGAATGAGAAATTTCACTGCCTCTGATGTAACGAGAATCTATCGCATGTGCAACAAAGATAAATTCAATAAGGAAACAGAATGCTTGAGGAGCGCCCTGCTCAGAAATGGATGTCCGGCCTCTTGCAACGATAGACACTTAGAGTGAAAGATCTATGCTCCATAGACCCTGGATGAACTAAAGAAGCGACTAATTGTAAATTTGAAATTCAACAGAGGTCTAATTAGTGCAGTTTTACGAACTCATCTGTCAACAGTAATTCAAAGAAAGTCTTTTGCTGCATCTCTACTCATCACCTTCTCTAGACACGCTGTTGTTCACCAAAACACCAAAGACAAGATAACGATGTTGGAAACTTCAATGAGTATTTACTAGTTCATTTGTTGCTGTGGAGTTATGTACATAGTCTGTACCAGCAGGACATTGCCTAGACGCGCTGATGAACACCTACCAGAATGGCTGTTGAAAGGAGAACGCAGAACAGTCATGCAGCATCAACACAGATTTCATTTAGAGTGACGTATTAATTAAGATTGAGGCGTTCAAAGGTATTTCGCCTGCATTTTTTTCATGCAGTCAAAGCTCTAGCGACCAGTAAGTAAATAAGGAAATTTCGTGTACATAAGTGTCTTATCCAGACCCTTTTACTACAATGGTCTTGGTGTGAGTTTCATTTTTTTGAACTGCTGTATAGTAAACTCTATACAGCCCTTCAAATGATTTTTTTAAATTTTTATTTCAGTAACCTATTTTCATTCCTGTATTCTTTTGTTTCCTATGCGTTATTTCCGAGTGATTCTTTATTGCTTAACTAATTATTTGTCAACCCTCTGGATTACATACGATTATTCACTGTTTATGTTTCACTCACTGTTATTTTTCACAATTTTTCACCTATTTCACTACTAATTCACAATAACCTATGACCTTTATTGTCAATTAACATTGTTAGTTAGTAAGTTATTCTACATAACTGTAGTTTAACGTCATTAAATGGTAACTGGAGCACTCTGAGTCATTGCATGCAACCTAGATTGTCTACAAAGGACAACAGATTTTTAACCTTTATCTACCCTAGACTGGCTTATCTAATACAACCTTTATCTTATGAACACCTTATTTGGGTTTATTTAAGGAACTAACTTATTCAAATATGAGTTGGGATATCGAGTTTGACATGGAGGAGATCATGTAAGGATACACTGAAAGTTTATAGGAAATCGTGCAGCCACATAAAAAAGACGTCAGAGAACAGAGTGGAATGGAGATGTTTTGCCGACACCTTGTGTTTCACTCGAGGGCCAAGGAAATAATAATAAGAATTTTGATTACATATTCGCATGTCATAAGTGCTACGAAACCCTTATTGAGCATGTAGGAAAATCTGTTACCAGTGAGAAGGAAAACGATGATTAATAATTACATCGTAATTGTCATATGTTGAAACTTTTTTGATATTGGTTTTTTTGGTTTTATTCCTTTACGTTTCCAGTGGAACATAGGGCTTCAAGCTAGAGCTTTGAAATTTCGGTAGCAGTGGTGTCATTTTTACGGGATAGGGTTGCTAGTCTCTTGCCCAACATTCCCTCTTTACCACACTTATTGCCGGTTTAGAGAGGTTTGAGAGTGTGTTGACCTGGGTTCAAACTCCCGACCACATGCATGGTTGGCGAGTATTCTGCCACTAAGCCACCGACGCGCTAGCAAAGCATATCTGCGACTTTGAAGGAATTCATGCCCCTTCTGAGATTCGAACCCATGTCACCAAGTGCTGCACTCAGAGACGTTACCACTGAGCTATTCGGACTATTATTTAATATTACTATTGTGATATGACTACTACTCAGTAGTTTTCGACCAGCAGAACTCTTAATAAATATTGTTGTATCTTCATGCAATTTACATACATAGGTGAATGTTATGGTGAGCATAAGATGAAACTTAAAAACTTTGTATCCATCTTTTCATGGCTAATTTAATCATTTGTGAGAATTAAAAAGAAAAGATAAGCACAAAGTAACAACACAAATTCATCATTGATAATTACCTGCATTGTGACAGAATTGAATACCGATAGAACAGTTTTCATATCTGTTGTAAAATCTATCTGTGTTTTAACTAATTCTTTTACAATATGCTTCCGTTGACCAAATGCTGCTAAAACGCGTTTTTCAGAATCATCAGTAACTTCATTATTTGTATTGCCATCTTCATCCGATAAACTGAATCCATATTTATAGTGATAGCTTATCATTGATGTATGATTGTTGGTGTTACTGGAAACTCTACGTAAGAATTTTCTACCGTCAGATAGTGTTGGTTTAAATATTTGACAATGAAATTGATTTTCCTCTGACAAGACTACAAAGGAGAAAAAACGCAAAGAATTCTGTTTCATTGACAAGAATTATCAAAGCAAAGCTACAAGTACATGTTGGTTAAATTTAAAAAGGAAATTTTAGATTGTATATTGTATTGTGTAACATTATACACGCACATAAATAGCTGCATATGTATAAAGTGAAACTTAGTTTGTCTTCCTGTAGTATTTTGCTAACAGTTAGTTATATGTGCATACATGATTATCTGACATGATTTATGTCAACATTTATCAAAAGGTTTTTAACAACCTGGGGGAGGGGTGATTTACGACAGTAGAAATTAAGTTTTATTTGTACTACTTTATACAAATGGGTGTGTATAGAAACATTTGACGAATTTCATTTCATAGCTGGCGAATAGAGAAAATATTTTCAATAAGTATTTTCACAAATTGATATTGTAACCTATAAAGTCACTCAAAGTTAAATAATGAATAAATCTTACATTGAGAAGATTTTAAATGGCTGATTTTGCCATCGAAAAGTTATTATTATTATTATTGTATCATTGAATTCTTAGAGGAACATAGGGCTTCAGCCGTGCGTCTCCATTGCTCTCGGTTCTCTCCGAGAGTCTTCACCTGGCTCCAAGTCTGCCCACACGTTTTCATCTCCTCTTCACATGACCTTCTCCAAGTCACCCTTGCACTGACGACCAACTCGCCGCTTCCCTTTCGTCCGTGTTCCACTGGAGCAATGGCTTGTCTAGTGATGTCACTTGATGGTTTCTTCAGAGTATGGCCAGTCCATCTCCATTTCTTCCTGCCTATTTGTTTCACAATCGGTTCCTGCTGTGTTGGTTCGCTCCCAGACATCTCTGTTGCTGATCTTTTCTGGCCGGCCATCTGATCTTGAGTATTGAGCGAAGACAACTGTTAATGAAGGTCTGTAGTTTGTTTGAGATGCTTTTTATGACGCGCAGTGCAAGTCTCCGATCCATATAGTAGCATTGACTTCACATGCCCGATAGGTACCTAGTTGTTTGGTAGAGTGTTGCGAGGTCTCCTTTGCCTGCAGCTTGTTCTGCTTCACTTGCCATGGTTTCATAATACTTTCTTTTGTATTCTCTGGCATTCTTCTTTACTCTTTTGTTCAGTGTCTTGTAGTTTGCATTCAAATCCTGTTTTTGTTGCTCGTCGGTGTTAGTTAGTAAATGCATTAAAGATACTAAAGCCTAATGATTATTCCATATGGTAGTAAACTTAAAATACGGCATGCTATGAAAATGCACCAGATAAATTCTTATTCTCATCAAGCTACTTTGGTGGATCAGTAGTAGAAAGCTCACCAACCACACATGTGGTCCGGGGTTTGATTCCCTTCCGACGTACTCATAAAACTTTTTCAGTTTAGTAGTTAGTGTTAAACCCAGAAAAAAGAGGAAGGCTCGGCGTGATAGTGGCAACGTCAACCGGTAAAAACAAAATGACGACTACTGGAACTTCAAAGCTTCATGGCTGAAGGCTCATTTCCCACTCAGAGCTCAAAAGGGAATGAAAAATAAGCTGAAATTATTAGAATCACTTGTCTCACAATAAATATGAATTCAGGATTTCATCATGAGCTGACATTAGTTAGAGAACCATTGGAAAACCTGGGAGTACTGGACAGCTGTTTCGTCCTAGTTTGGGACTTTTCATCAGTACGCACCCGCCGAGATTCAAACCCAGGACCTTCTGGTCACAAGGCGGTAGGGTGCAGCAGGTCGGGTGTGAGGACAAATACTGGCCGAAGACATTGGCTGGGGGTCACGCTATGTTGTGAATTGGCAGAAGTTAGAATACATGGGCCATTGGATCTGATCCCAGTGACTTAATGGTCTACGAGCTCTCCTTGTGAACAGAAGGTCCTGGGTTTGAATCCCGGCGGGTGCGTACTGATGAACAGTCCCAAAACTAGGACGAAACAGCTGTCCAGTACTCCTAGGTTTTCCAATGGTTCTCTAACTAATGTCAGATCATGATGAAATCCTGTAACCATTGAAATCCCTACAAACCAATACTTGAATATCAATGAGATACTCACTAGCGACTTGCCCTATTCAGGTAGGTAGTTACCTGGGGTTCTAGTGAGAAGTCGTGACCAGTAGGGTCAGCAGGTCGGGTGTGAGGACAAATACTCGCCGAAGACATTGGCTAGGGTTCGCACTATGTCGTGAATTGGCAGAAATATGAATCCAGTTGATGATTTTTAATCCATTCTCTTTCTCTTTTTGCGTCATACTATAAAACTTGTGTCAGTGGACTCTGTAATCAATATTTAAGCGAAAATTGCATACTTCTAAACTTTTGAAGTATACATATTCGTAGGTATATTACTATTTAATTTTTATGCATTAATATTAACTCCAGAAATACACATAGATATAAGGATACAAACATGATTAGCAGGTTGTTACTTCAATTTGTGTAGTGAATGCAGGGTAAAAGTCTACTTCAAATAATAAAATTGAAGAGTTACTATTTATGAAGAACAGGAGTAACTCTATATATGTAAACACAACAGGTTTTTTCCCACTCATCACTCACAAAACACTTTGTTAATTTGAATAAGCAGGATGACTAAAATAGTTAAGATCCCTTTAAACTTGAGTTGTTGTTTCAAATGAAGTATTTTTTACGATTGTGAAAACATCTACATCTGTGAATATTTTAAAAAACTGGAAAAAAATGCTTTTAACCATTGAGGATAGGATATAGTAAAGTTATGATTAATTATATTGAAAAGAAATAATTAGCTTTACTATTGGTTGACAAGTGATTTCTAGTTGGTTTAAATTTCTCAAGGGGAGAAAAAAGGTTTCACTTATAATTCGTAAGAGACCAGTTAATAATGATAACGATAACAAGAGTGTCAAGTAATTCGTACGGTCATGTGTTGTAAAGATCTCGAATGCTTTCAGAGAATCTGTTTCATGTGGAAATATTGCAGAACCGGTTGAACAAATGCTCAATAGAAACGTATTTAGCATCCAGCTTTAAATCGATTGCTAGATAAGAAGCCTCACTACCAAATTTCGTGAAGTACGAAGCCCAGATTTATTCGCAACTGCATAAAATTTTATCTAAAACGTGGTTAAAGTTATAGAGTTCATTCCTCTCAAAGGCAATAATTATTTGGCCTCAAAAGCCTTCATTGTGGTCTTCTTTAATGTATGGCATCAACAAATTAAGTTAGTGACCATTTAGTCAAACCTATTTAAGAAAGGGTTTGAAAAACGTTTCTGATAATTGTATTTAAATAGTCGCTATGTTTCCTCGAAACTCCTATATTTCTTCTCTATACCTACATAGCAATTTCACCTCTTTTTTTCAGAATCTCCTAACATGCTTATTTCTGGCTTTCTGTTATAAATCTTTTCTTCGGCTTCTTTCTTATAAAAGGATTTAGAACACTGAATGGATGAGTTCTCAAGTACATTCCAAGAACATGACTAGTACCTGTTAATTATCGATCACCTTAAAAACTATTTTCTACTTATATTCAAACAGGAACCGATTGTGAAACAAATAGGCAGGAAGAAATGGAGATGGACTGGCCATACTCTGAAGAAACCATCAAGTGACATCACTAGACAAGCCATTGCTCCAGTGGAACACGGACGAAAGGGAAGCGGCGAGTTGGTCGTCAGTGCAAGGGTGACTTGGAGAAGGTCATGTGAAGAGGAGATGAAAACGTGTGGGCAGACTTGGAGCCAGGTGAAGACTCTCGGAGAGAACCGAGAGCAATGGAGACGCACGGCTGAAGCCCTATGTTCCTCTAGGAATTAAAAGAAACAATAATAATAATTCAAACAGTTTGCCATGAAATAACTTTTATTTCTTTAACCATATAAACTGTTCCATATTGAAATAACTTTAATCTTAAAAAATTATTTTCTGCTTTATTCGTTAAACATTTTATTAGCAATTGGGCCACAGTAAGTAAGAATCAAAACGTTCAGCCAGTTTCTTGTATCTGTTTACACTCAGTTGCCTAGAACAGACCTTTAATGTACCAGGCTAAGAGCCACAATTGTCGCCTGAGGACTGATAATACCACCCATTCGTTCAATTTCAACTGCCTACGCCAATAAGCCACGACCTATATCAAAGGGATCATTAAAACAGATCTAACTGATCCTGATACTACATTAATATTTGGTTAACATGTGCACTATATCCGCGTAATATCTACTGAAATTTAGGAGCATTGGCATCTAATGAATTCTTGTATTCTATATGTAGTATACACTGGATAGAATCAGTATACTTTTATCTTATCTTATCATGTATTCCTGTTGACAGAATTGGAAATTTATAAGACAGCCTCAATAAAGTGTAAATCATAGTTGCATCAAAACGTGTAAACTGTTATAGAAACAAACTCTACTTCTAGAATGAATTTGTTGAGTCTATAGATATTAATAAATTAGTTTATTGAATTCTTCCGAATTAAAATGAGATCAGTGACTAGCTCGCGAGACTTGTCAGGATACAAAAATTCTACCTAAGATAACAGTAACAAAGGATACGTGTAAATGTCCAGTTATAAATAAAAATGTGATTCCATATTACCATACCAGCTAAAACGATGATTGTTGAAGCTTTCCTATCATAATAAAAATTTTATTTAAATTTAAATGAATTGAAACAAAGTCAGACGTTTACACTATGGTGGCATCTAAGGTCAACTTCGTTTAATTAACGGTATGACAGGAGTAAGGTGTTTTCCTGGGGCTAACAGCCAATCAACGATTGTGCTTTCTCATTCTGAGAAAGAGGGTTGGCTGCAAAACCTATGTCCAACAACCTAGCCTGCTGACGTCCATATGTAAGATAACATTCTGCATATCCAATTACTTTTGAAAGAGATACGTATGGCAGACCAGAAATAGGTATGTTGTAGGTTTTTTAGGCATGCGAGATTAGTCGTTTTTCTGTTTAAGCGAGCTTTCAAAGAAAGTGGAGCAGAGATGTATCAAGCACCGACATACTTCTT